GTAGTCCTGCATAGCTGGTGGTATTCTGCATTGCTGTATAATGATTATACAGCAATGCAGAATAGCACCAACTATGCAGGACTACAAGTCCCAGCAATACATTATATTATTAAGTTGGGATGCACCAGTGCCAATACTGGGTTTTTTCACATGTACTTGTGAAAATGCCCCATACTAAAAGCAGGCAAAATTACCAGGGTTGCAGCGGTCGCATTTGTGACCAGGCCCTGGTGCTCGGCCAGTTGGGGGGAGCCCAGAGAGAAAGAAGAGGGCCCACCACATGCAGCTGCCTCATGCTGCCCGCTGAGGAACGCAAGAAGCTGCTGTTATTATTATTATTCACATTATAATGTACTGCTGGGACTTGTAGTTCTACATAGCTGGTGCTATTCTGCATTGCTGTATAATATTATACAGCAATGCAGAATAGCACCATGCCTGGACAGATGGAAGAAGGCCCCCGGTGACAGTCGTCATTTCCATAAAAAGGCCCAATAAAATCCTCAGCACCAGGCCCGTGATGTTCTTAATCGGCCCTGGTGATACCTTGAGATGCTTTTTTGGTCCGGGAACAAACTGCTCTGGATATGGTGTGAACAAGGCCTTACCACAGTAAAAGGCTTCATGTAACATACACTGGATGTGTCCTCACCCACAAAGCAGCAATGAGCACCTGGTGTTTGTTGTGGGAAAACTATAGACCAACCGGCAGCAGTATGAATTTGCATGCTAGCTGTCTATATGTATTTGGGTTGGCACAGAGTTAGCAGTAGAAGGTTGTCTTTAACAATGACCGTCCCTTCTACATCACAAGCCTGAGCGCAGTGTGAACGCCGGTGATTCAGCATCCAGCAGTCACACTGAGTGGGCGGAGTCACAACGTCATCTCCGCCATGCCTTGCGTCCCAGCCCCGCCCCGTGCTCCCGTCTCCCGCTTGCCTCCTCCCCTCCATAGGGCTCCTGGTTCTTCTTCCCGGGGACCGCGCCTTATCTATTCAGCGGAAGGGTGGTCGGGACCAAAACCTGGAGGGGGGTGTTCCACAGACTAGCTCTCCCAATATCCACACACACGCAGCTGTCATAGGAAAGGAGCGCTAGGATGGCAGCGGGGAGAGCCGCCTCTTACTCGTCTCCATCCTCCAGCTTCAACGCTGGCTATGGGAACAGCCACAGCGGGGCGGCGGCCAGCGAGGATGAGGATGGGCAGAACCTCTGGTCAGTAGCTGCTATTGTGCATGGTGACTAATAGACATGGAGGCCGGGGTGACCCTCGTGTTCATTCATCCGCCGTCCCGAGACCGTTATATGCCGAGCTCGTGTGACATGTTTCATTGAGGGGGAGGGGGCCGGTGGAGTCTGTCTGCTTAACCCTTCCTGTTCTTGGCAGGCTGCCATTCTAATTGCTTGTACAGTTCTCTTGCACGCTGCCACCGGCACAAGGGTTAAACAGACAGCCGGTACAAGTCAGGGCTGCGCTGTACCTGGCAGGGGGAACGTATAGACGCTTTTAGGGGTCAGGAACGCGCTTTTCCCGTGTGTGGGCGTGGCCAGGTACCTGGTAAAAAACGGGAACGCGCTCTACCTGTCAGATTTTACAGGTGCGCAGGCTCGTGGAAGGTGCAGGCCCCATGTGCCCTGTGACAGATGGGCGGGGCTTCCTATGTTTGTGATCAATGGAGGGGCCTGTGCAGGTCTCTGTGTGATCGCTGGGTCCAATTTATTAAAGTCTATGTCCACTATTGCGCTTCTGTTAAAGAAAACCTACACTATATGCTTGTGTCCCACACAGCATAACTGAAAATAATATTTAAAGAATATGCTTTACCTTTCTAGTGGCCCCTTTTTTGGAGTAGGATTATCCATAGGAGCCTATAGGGAGCTTCTATTGCTTAGAATAAATGACAATGTGCAGATAAGGGGCAGACCCACAGGCATCTTTTTTTTTTACGTGCTAGGGGCCATTTTGCACCATAACGCACACAAAAACTCACTGCAATGCATTGAATTGCATGTTTCTGTGCAATTCACGTTGCATATTTATACACGTTGGCAGATGTTTTAATGTCATCTGTTGTTGAGCATTTTTAGGTCCTATTTCCTGGAAGGGTCAAAATGTAAAAAAAATTGTATTTCCTGCAGTTGCTCTGTGTTTGCATGCGTTTTATATACAATACATTGTGTTAAAATTTATACATGCTACATTTTAATGTAACTCACTGCAACGCACATCTGCACAGGAAACCATTGTGTTCTATGTACTCTTGCATACGTGCATAGAGTTGGTGTGAACGAGCCCTAAAGCGTGTCTAAAGCCAAGACCAAACATTGAGAGGGATATTCACAAAAAGAGTGAAGAGTTTGGAGAAGGCAGGAGAAGTGGACAATCTAGGACAACATGGCTGAACTGGAAAGTGAGCTGAATTGGAGAATGTTTCCAGTTCAGCCATGTTGTCCTAGATTGTTCACGTCTCATGCATTCTCCAAACTCTTCACCCTTTTGTGAATAACCCTGTTAATGTATTGCAGCTTACCAATCCTTAGATGAGATGGCTTTTTTTCTTTTAACCTGGTGATCCTACCAGGAACTAGGGTGACAACCGTACTGTATCTAGAAGGAGCTGCATTGTCACTCTGAGGCAGTGATTGTGTTAGGACTAAATCACGATAGAGGAGGTGTTTTGCAGTCCACAGAGATAACTAGATAACAGTCTACAAAGGCAAAGAGTCATCAACTCATGAGATTTCGGGGTAGACAAACAGCAGTTTTTTTTTTATATTTATCACAAAATGTGTTCAATGGTATATTTAACAGAGCTGAATCAATTATACTATGTACTGACCGATGTGTTTTCAGGCAATGGGGAAACTGTCATTTTTCTTTTTGATTACATGTTCAGTCATGGTAAATTGATAATGTTTATTAACCTGTGAACATTCCAGTTTCAGTAGAGCAGGGGTAGACAACCTCAACACTCCAACCTTTGTGGAACTACAAGTCCCACTAGGCATTGGAGAAATCTGACTGCCACAGGCATGACTATTGGTGGCAGAGGAATGATGGAATATGTAGTTTCACCACAGCTGGAGGTTGCCTACCCGTGCGATAGAAACTTATATGTGAGAGCCCTAAAATCTTGTTCTTGTCAGTTTGATTGACATTCACAGTTTTAGTGTATACCTGTCTTCAGTGTATGTATGGGTGAAATAAAAGTCACACATTTAGTACATCTCTGGAATACATGCGTTTTTTCCTTGTGTTTTGTCTCTTGAAAATACCTGGTGATCTGCCCGAAATCCATTGACTCCTTGTATGATCTAACAGTGCTGTCTCTGCTGCACTGAAATCCCAAACAGTGTTATCAGGCTTGTCTGAGCTCTTCCCTGCTGGACTACAGGAAATGTGGTCCTCTTCTCATCACTATAACATAAGGAGGAGTGTCCTGTAGTCCAGCATAGTAGAACTCAGGCAGGGCTGATAACACTGCTTGGGTTTTCTGGGCAGCAGAGGCAATGTGTTGTCAGCTCAGGAAGGAAGTTAGGCGTTCGCTGGTTTTCTGGCAGGATTAATGGGTATTGGTTGGAGTTAAAATACTTAGTTCAGTGCGAAAGAATAATGTTAATGGGCCCCAAACGTACCAAGTTGATAATCCAACTGAAAAGCGGGCAGCTGGAGATGCTTTCATGTACATACAGATGTCTTCAAGAGCTCAACTAGGACTTCTGTACACAGCTGCCTCTGGCGGTAGAACATACATTCTGGTGTGTTTCTATCGCCATGGTATAGTAAAGTAGGGATATACCAGTATCGGTGCCTATACTGGGCATTTCCACGAGTACTCATACATGTGAAAATGGCCCGATACTGGTCCTCCTAAGACCTCGCGCAGCCCACCACAGAACCTGCAAAGCCCAGCATAGAAACCCCCAGCCACCTGAGAGTCCTCACCCCCCACCTGAGAGCCCACCATAGACTCCGCACAGCCACCTTAAATATCCTGCTGTAGACATCAGGCCAGCACCCCAAAGCAGCACAGAGTATGTAGCTTCATAATATTCTGCATTGATGTATATTGCATTGCTGGGATTTTGTAGTCCTCTCTAGCTGATGATATTATTCTGCATTGCTGTATAATGTATTGCTGGGATTTGTATTCCTCTATAGCTGGTGGTAGTCTACATTGTTGTATAATGTATTGCTGATATTTGTAGTCCCTCTGCAGCTTGGCTTCAGTGGCAGAACTATCACTTTGGGTAGTATAGGAAAGAGGATCAGAACCCTGTGTTAGGATTTTTTAAAGGAGAACTATTGGGAGAGTAAAATGTACTCTTCCCAATAGTTTGAGCCGGCGTGTGAGTGTGACACTGCAGCTGTCACTTGCCAGCTCAATAACTCGATAACTGAGCAATTGCAGACCATTGATCGCTCAGCTCATGGCTTCTCCCTGCGGAGAACAGGTACTGTCGGTCACCGCTCCCCGCAGGGATTCTCCCTCCCCTCTCTGTTCCTCCAGCACTCATTGGAGGCACACACATGGGAGGGGCTGGACACAGCTGGCTCTAGAGAGGCAGAGCCAGATGTCAATCAGGCAGCGGGGTGGATCCTGATAATATTGTCAGGATCGTTCCCGGCTGCAGCGAGCTCTGCAGTGTCAGTGTATAGTGGACAGTAGCCTGCTATATATTGAGTTTGGGTCCCGGGTACATTAGTAAGTATATTCCTGTGTCGCAAAAGACAACTATATGGAAAAATAGTTGGCCATAGTTCCCTTTTAATGTCTTATGTCCCTCCCAGGCAGATTCGGCCTCTGTTTGTTCTGGTGACCATTATGACTGGGAAAGAAAGTGGTGGGAAATCCAACATTATAGTTTTGTGTTTTTTTTTAAATCTAATTTGAAAACCTTTTTCTCATATACAGAAAACATGTGGCTTTTTTAGACTGTCAAATATTCTTTGAGTGGTATAAAAGAAGCAGTTGTAGGATGACTGCATTTACATTTGTAATTGGTCAGTGTGTGGTTTTGTTTGTCCTCTGCACAAATGCCAAACAGCCAAATCATTCATATTTATTATACATGTACGGTGCTAGCTGGAAGCTCACCATGCAGGCACTGAATTTTGGGCTCTGCTGCTAAATCCGCTGAAATTCGGTCTGTTGGCACCACCCAGCTTGACAAAGGTCATGCTCTGTAGAAGGTCTTTAGCGTGGACAAATTAATATGGAATTTAGGAGCCAGTGTGTCCAATCCAGAAGCCGGCAGGATTTTTGCTTAGGAGCCAAGTCCATCGAAAACAACTATAGAAAACCTCAAATGTTGGGCACCAGCTGAAGCTATGGCTCCCTGGCTTCTGGGATCTGTCCAGCTCTGATATTCCCTGCCAGGAAAAAGGAGCATGTATACATGTCTTCTGATAAGAACAGTTTGTTCTGAATTGTTCCGTCATATAGAAGTCACAATAATTGTCATACTCTCAAACCATTTTCTGTCCGGTCACTTTCCTGTAGGATTTTTGACTCTAACTTGTACTTTCTACCTTCAATAATGATTAAAATGATTGGACTGGGGAAATGGTTGTCAGTGCAGGAGGACTGTCAGTGCTGCTTATTACAGGGGCAGGCCTATGAACAATTAATACTTTGATTCATCATTGCATCTGGGCTGAAGGAAGGGGAATGTAAACATGTTATTAGACTGAAGTCGTTATCAATGCTAGATATGTGTCAGACATTTGTGAACATAGACATGAACTACAGACACCAAAATTGCATGTCTTTTCCATCTGTAAGCCAACATATCAGTCCAGATAATAGAAGGTGACGTGAATAATGCCTCAACAAAGATGGCGCCGTCCTTCTTGAGAAAAAAAGCAGATCAAGGCATCAGGGGAAGTGCTGTGAGCTCTATGGGAGGGAATAAATGCACCTATGTGTTACACTTCAATATTACTTGGTATGCATACATGTGAAAAACATATCTGAAGATAGGTTCACGTTAGGATTTTCTGTAAGTTATCAAATGTAAAGATCACATAACCCTGCTAATATGTCTTTCTATTTCTATAGGTCCTCCATATTGAGTGAAGTTTCTACTCGGTCTCGCTCTAAGTTACCCTCTGGAAAGAACGTGCTGGTGCTTGGTAGGTAAAAAATAAATACATTCTATGTGCTTTATTCCAATTTTTTATGTTTACAATGTAAACAATGTTTTTTCCATTGTGTATTAAGGAATGGATTGATGGAACCCCTTGTTGTGAGAATATTTAGGATGTTATTTCTGATCATGCTTCTGACAATGCTACTTCCCTGGCTGTTATACTGATCTGTAGAATTCAGTACTTTCTGGGTTGCTGATGCAGAGCAATTTATGCCATTGCTTGCTGCATACTTGTTTGTGGTCTATGACACAGACAATATTGAAGCCATACACAACTGTGCAGCCAGCATTGTAAGATGGAGAACAGCTGTGTTGTAGCCTTTGTATATATCTCATTACATCACAAGTGTCCTTCACAAACTTTACTTATTTGAAGCTCATCAGGAGAAGCTTTAGGCCCGGTTCACACCTGTACGTTTTGTAGCGCATTCAACGCTCTACGAACGCTCTACAAAACGCTCAAACATGAAAATCCCATTGTTTTTCTATGGGTATGGTTCACACCTTGCCGTATTTCAGCCCGTCTGAACGCGCTACAAAACGGCCTACGCCTGAAAAGGTACATGATCTTCTTTGCGGCGTTTTTGTCGGGCGTTTCCATTGGGATACAGCTAAGTAGCCCTCGGAAACGCGCGTTTGTCGCACGTTTTTTTTACCGCAAATCGCGTGTCACGAAACGTGCCACAAACGCGCATATTCAATACGCCTAGGTGTGAACAGAGCCTTAGAAACTGTGGTGAAGTTCATCTACCCTTCAATCAATCGGTTGTAGGGGGTTTAAACTGCTGTTTTTCTCAGACCCCGGGTCTGGTCATAGGTAGTCTGATATTCTCCAAGTTTTTTCATGTTCTTCACATGTGCTTAAAACTTTTATTTCTTTGGGTTAATGGAAGGCTACATAATCGGAGATTTTGAGGCTTGGTTGAAGGCCAGACCAGCTAGCGATGCTCTGTAGTAGTAACTCTGAACCTGTGGTTTGTGAGCCCTAGGTGGCTTTCTGTTACTTTGTGTGTTTCTTTGGGCAACAAATGGGGAGTTATTTAAGTGTTTCTAAGTGGTTAGAATACTTGCAAGGTTTTCATTACTGTCTTTTGTATAAATTAGGAGGTTTTACCCCTTTCACAAGTATACTACATCCCTTACATTGCCTTTAGGGGGCCTGCAGACATTAGATCATGCTAAGAACATTCACGTTCACAGTGGTCGAGTGTGCTTGTTTGTAATATGAAGCAGGAATTGGGGACCAATTGGTTCTTCCCATAAGCATGCTTGGCTATGGGATGTGGGGTAGAGCTTGCCCCACATGATGTTGGGTGCAAAAAGAAATCAGGGCTCTTTGTCCTCAATCTGCTTGAGATAGTAAAGAGGGAAATCGGGGGTCCCTCTGACACTAGCCCAACCCCTGATGGCTTCATAAAGTGGACCTGTCACTACTATCAATTTGGAGGCTTTATTAAACCCCCGCTTGTAATAGTAATAAATAGAAGAGAAATGTTGAAGTAATACAGATAAAAAAAGGAAAGGGAAATTAAGAGCCCCCCTGACTACACGTGTACACACATCAACAGAAAGAGACACACCTATGTACATAAATGCTGATAATATATTACACATTGCTGCGTACGCCACAGGTAGAATAATAATTTCACGGCTGTCGTTTAGTTCAAGTTTGAATAGATGGGCTGTAGCGGTAACATTTTGGACTATCCTGAAGTGGCTTTGTATGAGCCTTGATCTGAATCATATTAAACATCCATGGAAAGAGCTGAAGCATGCAATCTGTAGACAGTAGACATGTGCACTGCCAAAAAATTCGTTTAGTTTCGTTTCGTTTTAAATTCGGATTTGTGTTATTTCGTTTTTCAGGATTCGTGTGTGAAAGTCAATTCGGATTCGGGCGAAATTCGGTAGCGTTAGTATGAACGTTCGTTTCGTTTTCTGTTCTTATTCGTTTCGGTCGTTCGTTTGCAGCAAAATGACATTTGAGGGGGAAAAAATATTTTTCTCCTTCTCTAATGTCACTTTGCTCCAACGAACGAAACGAATAAGAAACGAATACGAACAGAAAACGAACCGAACGTTCGTACTAACGCTACCGAATTTCGGAAATGGAAATTCGGATTCGTTTGCATTCGTTATGTCTGTAATTCGGAATTCGGATACATCCGAATGTCCGAATTTCCGAAAATTCGTCCGAATTTCGATTCGGAACGAAACGAATCGCACATGTCTAGTAGATTTAATACAAGTGATCTAACTGGATCACTTATATTAAACGAGCAGCGGCTCCCACTGTACATTCAGCTCTGCTTGTCAGGGGCAGGGCTGAATGTACAAAAAAACTACTCGCCCGGCAGCCGAAACTGCGTGTCCCGGGCGTCTGCCGATAGGTATTTGATCCATAAGACGCAGGCACATTTTCCCCATCCTTTTGGGGGGGAAAAAGTGCATCTTATGGAGCGAAAAATACGGTATTTTTGTGGAAGGGTACCAACAAATTTTGTCCATGTCTAGTTTCGTTTTAAATTCGGATTTGTGTTATTTCGTTTTTCAGGATTCGTGTGTGAAAGTCAATTCGGATTCGGGCGAAATTCGGTAGCGTTAGTATGAACGTTCGTTTCGTTTTCTGTTCTTATTCGTTTCGGTCGTTCGTTTGCAGCAAAATGACATTTGAGGGGGAAAAAATATTTTTCTCCTTCTCTAATGTCACTTTGCTCCAACGAACGAAACGAATAAGAAACGAATACGAACAGAAAACGAACCGAACGTTCGTACTAACGCTACCGAATTTCGGAAATGGAAATTCGGATTCGTTTGCATTCGTTATGTCTGTAATTCGGAATTCGGATACATCCGAATGTCCGAATTTCCGAAAATTCGTCCGAATTTCGATTCGGAACGAAACGAATCGCACATGTCTAGTAGATTTAATACAAGTGATCTAACTGGATCACTTATATTAAACGAGCAGCGGCTCCCACTGTACATTCAGCTCTGCTTGTCAGGGGCAGGGCTGAATGTACAAAAAAACTACTCGCCCGGCAGCCGAAACTGCGTGTCCCGGGCGTCTGCCGATAGGTATTTGATCCATAAGACGCAGGCACATTTTCCCCATCCTTTTGGGGGGGAAAAAGTGCATCTTATGGAGCGAAAAATACGGTATTTTTGTGGAAGGGTACCAACAAATTTTGTCCATGTCTGTTGTTTGTATATTAAATATTAAATGAAGGCTTCATATGTTCTAAAAAGGGTGGTAAAATCATTTTGGTGTTAAGAAGTTAAGTGATTGTTGAGTAAACCAGTGCATGGCAAAACTTGAAAATCTGATCTGATCACAGTTACCCTGGAAGTTATCTTGCAGCTTTTTGTTACTCAAAACTACTTTTTATTAATTGGTACAAATGCAGAAATCATTGTAAGAAGATACTTTTGTGACTGGCTCAAGACCTTTCTCTGGAGACAAATGGATTAGGCAGTATTGACCAGTATATTTAAAATGTCCCTGGTCACAGTCAGTTGAAGTGTATTTCCAATTTTGCAGCTATATTGGTATAATGCCTACTGTATTTGTTACACGTTCTCATTCACATAGCGTAATTTAATAAAAATTGCTTCTTACGTTTTTAAGTGCCAAAACACAATAACTGCTCCTGAAAATGGTCTTCCAAAAGTATATACAGGGGGGCAGCTCCTCACAGTCAATGGAAACCGAAAATCTGATGAGGACAAAGGAAAAGGAGCGCCTCCATAGTGTAAAATTGATTTATTGAGGATAAAACACACAGCTGAAAAGGTACTTACAAACCAGCTGGTATAAAAGAGCAGAAAGCAATATAATAAGGAGACCATCAAGAAGAATACACGAAAATGGGGTGAGGTAAAGGAAGTGCTGGTACTAAGCTGAAGCCATCTGCACGCTGACCCTCCTTCAGTTGACGCGTTTCGGAGGACAAACCTTGTTCATCAGAATCTGCTGGTCCTTAATAAATCAATTTTACACTACGGAGGCGCTCCTTTTGCTTTGTCCTCATCAGCTTTATACATGCATAAAATTCCATTCTAGCTTCCCTATGTATTATTAAGAAGGGGGCTGTTGGTAGGTATGTTTACTCTAATGTCTGTACTGTCATGGCAGATTTCAGTATCAGATGTTAACTAGATTTGAACATTGTCTGCCCTAACGAAGGGTTAAAGACTTGGAAGCATTGTATGCCAGGGGTGTAGAAATTTTTGAAAAAACTACTTGTCCAAGGACTAAAGCGGGGGGCCGAACCTACTTGTCCCTCATGACAATCTACTTGTCCTGATACAAAAAAAAATCATTTTAACCAAAACCGTATTTAGCAGTGCTAAGAAGCGCTACTCATTGGTCAGTGCCGTCAGGGGACAGCTTTGACCAACGAGTGCTTGCAATTTGCGAGCGAAATTCAGAATACATGGAACAGGTACAGATAGGACACCCGTACTGGTGGGCGGGAAGGACTATTCGCCAAAAGGTAAGTATAGTGGGAGGGAGATTTGTGCGGGTAATTCCATTTTCCCAAAATACTTGGGAAAGTGAATTTACCCTTCAGGTTTGGTGCAGACTTGGGGATTCCCGGGACGTGCGATCGTGTGCAGTTTGCATACAGCGGTTGCATCCGCATGTATGGGGTTACATCTGCGTGACAATCGCTGAAAAAAAGGTAGATGTACCTATTTTCACGAAATCAACCGTGATCGTGTGGGATTGCCTGGGCGGCATTGCAGCAGGTAAACGCGCAATCTGCCTGGCACGACTGGGGTGCCTTTAGAAAATAATGACACTGACAGCACGATCGGCGTTGATGTGCGATTCCGTGACCACCCAGCCATCCGCTCGGTTTCGTGCACGATGACCAGGCAGTCACGGATTGCACACCACTGCCGATTGTGCTGTCAGTGCCATTATTTTCTAATGGCACCCCAGTCGTGCCAGGCAGATTGCGCGTTTTCCTGCTGCAATGTCGCCCTGCCCGTGCGGTTGCACGCGATCGCAGTTGAAAATACTGCACGTTTATTCGCATGCAGATGGGGGGCAGCGGGGCTGGTTTTCATTTTTTCAATTTTTATTTACTTCATTTGTTTTTGTTATTTTTACTTTATGGCCTTTTTATTTGTTACATTTTTAATTATAATTTGTTACATTTTTTTTAAACTATTAAAAAAAAACGTAACTGTATTGCTATCACACAGGGATTAACAATCCCCTGTGTGATAACATTTGGAGGTGACAGGTACTCTTTATTGAACCTGTCACCTCCAACACAGGAGTTCTAGCAGGCACTGTTGCTAGAACTCCTGTGACCGGAACGAGCAGTGGCTGCCGAGGACAGAGGCTGAGGGAGGTGACGGAACCTGTCACTACTCCACGCCCCTCGCTCTGTCCCCGCTCTCAGCGCTCCACGCTCAGTCCCCACCCCCCACTTTCTGCGCGTTTCACGCTCTGTCACGCAATTAAGAGAAGAAAACCAGCCCTGCTACTTGTCCGCACCAGGGCTAAAACAGTGAAAAAAGCACTTGCCCGGAACTACATGTCCCGGGTGTCGGGAGATACGAATTCCACAACCCTGTTTCCTAAGTAGAGGAAGCTCAGTACGTCCCTCAAGTTGACCTTCTACTTTTGCTTTTAAACTGTTTAGAATAGCCCTAAATCTGCACAAAGGCCATGATAACATTTGGAGGTGACAGGTACTCTTTATTGAACCTGTCACCTCCAACACAGGAGTTCTAGCAGGCACTGTTGCTAGAACTCCTGTGACCGGAACGAGCAGTGGCTGCCGAGGACAGAGGCTGAGGGAGGTGACGGAACCTGTCACTACTCCACGCCCCTCGCTCTGTCCCCGCTCTCAGCGCTCCACGCTCAGTCCCCACCCCCCACTTTCTGCGCGTTTCACGCTCTGTCACGCAATTAAGAGAAGAAAACCAGCCCTGCTACTTGTCCGCACCAGGGCTAAAACAGTGAAAAAAGCACTTGCCCGGAACTACATGTCCCGGGTGTCGGGAGATACGAATTCCACAACCCTGTTTCCTAAGTAGAGGAAGCTCAGTACGTCCCTCAAGTTGACCTTCTACTTTTGCTTTTAAACTGTTTAGAATAGCCCTAAATCTGCACAAAGGCCTTCACCAAATAAATATCTAAAATTCTAAAATGTGAGATATACATACATACATACATACATACATACATACATACATGCATACATTTATTTTTTACTTTTTTCGGTATGCTGTAAATAGGAACACAGAAAAAGCATATAGAGGGGTTTTCTCAAAGATGACTGCAAAAGTGGAACTATACTTTAAACCCCCTCTCTCTGCCTCACATACTGTTTTTTATACACTCTCTAATTAAGCATGCCTGTAATAGGTATAATAAGGATCATTACAATTTAAACAAGTAGAGCTTTCATCATGATGGTAAATGTAATGTGCAATTAATTTTATTATTTCTTTGTTGTCAAATATCAAATAATTACAGGTGAGGATGGAGCTGGCAAGACAAGTTTAATAGGAAAGTTGCAGGGAATAGAAGAGTACAAGAAAGGAAGAGGAATGGAGTATCTTTATATTAACGTCCATGATGAAGACAGAGATGGCAAGTAGTGCTGATGATGATCAATAACGGACAAGAGCAACAAAGAATCTAGTAACAGAATTATTACCTGTACTAACTGAGCATAAGGCATTTTACTGTTCATGAATTGATCTTATATTTTGGAAACTATTGTTAAAATGATTGATCCAAGTTGGCTATATATGTATATGTGTAAGCGAGTACTTGTACTTGCCCAAATGCTCCAATACCTTCGCCAATACCGGAACTTCCATTCACGGGAAGATTTCCTCGGACCAGCAGTGCTGTAAGGGAACATGGAGATGGCTTTCTGGCAATCAGAAAGCCGGGTGGCAAGTAATGACCTGGCTTCCTGATTGGCCGAACAGCCGACTCGATGCTGATTGCCCGGGTAGCCAGCTTCCCTGCCAATCGGGAAGCCGGGCAGCATGTCATTACCCGTTTCCTGATTGCCTGGGAAGCCGGCTACATGCCAGCATAATCACCGCTATCAGTACTCTGTATCGGCAAGTACAGAAAGCAAAACATCGGTACTCGATACCGAAAAACCAGTATCTGTGCATATCTATTTATAATACAAACGGCTACAGTAAATAGTAATGTAATTTTATTTGTTATACACAGTTGTCACCCTGAGAGAGGAAGTGGACTTTAAACTGGTGGTTTTCGCAGGATGAACAGATACTTTTTACATAATGTCTGGGGAGAAAAAAAAGAAAGCTGCTTTCTACTTCAATTATTTGCATTATCCCATTTATCTAGAAATTCACTTTTGGGCATATTTATAAAGCAGCGATTGTGACTTTTGCCAAACTTTCACTGGTGCTAAATTAATCATTGTTATTTAAAATGCTTGCACCTGGAAGAATATCCTGCTGTGAATGGTGGACGGGTGTCAGATTCACTGCTTTGTAAATGTGCCTCTTTCCTAATTTTTACAATGTGTTTGTCATTGCTGTATTGTGTTCAGGTTTTACTATAGAGGTCCTTTAGTATGTCGGCTTGTCATGTTCACAGTGTACACATAGTAATTCAAATTCTCTTATTGTAGATCAAACCAGATGTAATGTGTGGATTTTGGATGGTGATCTTTATCACAAAGGCCTGCTAAAGTTTGCCATGGACGCCGGCAGTGTTAGGGACTCATTAGTTATGTTGGTGGTAGATATGTCGCGGCCTTGGTTGGCCTTAGATTCACTTCAGAAGTGGGCCAGTGTTGTCCGTGAACACATGGATAAACTAAAAATCCCACCTGAAGAAATGAGGGAGATGGAAGAGAAAAGTAAGTGAAATCTGTGTTTTTTCAATTAGATGTTCTTCACTTAAAAATAGCAGTTACTTTACAGTGTATGTCTGCACAAGACATTTAAGTTGGTAGTTAAAGATGGCTGAAATCCAGATTTTCATACAACAGTAAGAACACGCGATTCCCTTGTAACCACTGCAATAAGATTATCTTAATGACTTTGTTTTGGCGCCTTTAAAATTGCATTATACCTTGTAGTAGGTTACCAGTGTTCTAGTATCAGACTCTAATGCTTTACAGTAGGGATGCACAGATTCTTTTCGAGTACCAGTGCCGATACTTGGCATTTTCATGAGCACTACCAGGGCTGCAGCGGTTGCAGCTGGGACCTAGCTCTGGCACTCCACCACTGTCCTGAAATCATTAGTCTGTATTGTTTTACAAAAACTGTCACATGACAATAAACAAATATGTATCAGTACTCGTACTTGTAAGTACTCGGCAAGTACCAGTACTCGTACTCGCAAAACTGGTATCTGTGCATCCCTTTATCTATATTTATAAAAACAAAACCGTACATTAAAACAGAGATGTACAAATCCCAGGAGCTCCGCGTGCTCCTTACAAATGACCGCTGCCTCCTAACTTTTTAATTTTTCTCTAGTCTAGTCTTGGAGCTCAAAAGTATCGGTGCATGTACTTGTACCGAGTACTGTACTTGGTATCTGTGCAACCCTACTTTACAGTATCATCAAGCCTGGCACATAATGTACTTCCAAAGCCAACTCTTGGGGACCACACAGGGACCCTTCTTAACGGTAGACAGTGATGTCACTGATGGTGAAGTCATTAATTGATAAATGATAACAAGGGAGCAGTCATACTATAACATGTTGCTTGCTAGACATCAGGAAGCAACTCTTTTGCTGAAGACAGAGTCTCCCATTTCACATGGGTCAGAGTTGACTATGTAAAGCAGACTTGGGGGTCCATTTATGGGGGGAAAAAAAAAAATTGCACATGTATGAAGCTCAGTTCAAATGTGCTTAGTCTCCCCCAGTCACAGTTTTCTCTTTGCTATGTTAAAAATGACCTACTGCAGCCTGCATTTTATGAATGGGCCATATAATGTAGTTTGTGGTGTAGAGTAACCTTGCAGTGTATAGCATAGAGTGGGAAGCTATATCCACTCCCCATTATTAATGGACCCCTGAGTGTTTGATGTCGTTTTCCATGTTGCATACATGCATATTTAGTCATGTGTAACACGCAGATATTTATTATCTCATAAGGAGATCATAGTATGTCTTATTTCTGTTCAGAAGGACTGTGCCATGTTTTTAGTCATATTTTCTTATATCACACAGTCCTCTTGGTCTTGGTCCAGTAGGCTTTATTTTGTGGGCTGTGGGGAGTCTAAGCAAATACTTCCTCCTGTTTGCAGCAGACAAATGACATCATGCTCCCAGTTGGTACCTACAGTAGGCAGTCATTTTAATGGAATTCGGTAACTGCTTTTTAAAGTGACCCTGTCGGGGTAAAAAAGATTGGTTCCCTGGAAGAAGAGTACTCTTTTACTTGCCTCATGTGTCCTACCTACCTGTGACTGTGGACTTTGACTCTCCCGACATTGTTGAATGGTGAACACCACTGATGGAGGTGGCAACACTGGAAATGGAAGGGGAGGTAGGAGACACGGGTCAAGGTTAGAATGGCTCTTCTCTTGCAGGGCACAACTTTAATAATAAAAGATACAGAGGGGAGTTTATCAGAACTGGAGCAGACAAAATCTGGAGCAACTGTGCAAGGCAACCAATCAGCTTCTCTTTTATTTTTCAAATCTTACCTCAACAAACTGAGGAGAGAAGTTGATTTGCTGCCTTGGGCAACTGCTCCAGATTTTTTTCTGCTCCAGTTCGATAAATTCCTCTTAGAGTGCTTTTTTTCTTTTTAAAATAATATAACAAGGTATTGTGACACGTCAGAAATGTATTCATGCAGACTAGTAAAGACACTGATAGCTCCAATTTTAATTTATGTGGCATTTGGATATTTTGTCCTGACTCCTTTTTGTACTTGTGTTTTGTTCAGTGGTTAGAAATTTCCAAGAATATGTAGAGCCTGGAGAGGAATTCCCTGCCTCACCGCAGAGGAGGGCTACATCCACACAAGAGGATCGGGATGACAGTGTGATTTTGCCCTTGGGAGAAGACACCCTAACGCATAACCTTGGCATTCCTGTAGTAGTAGTTTGCACAAAGGTCCGTTTCATATAGCATGCAGGACTTATTTCAGCTCATTGCCAGCAATTTGTACTAGTAAATAGGTTCAGCAACAGTCTTTCTGCTTGCTTTTGTGCTTGAATTTTTTACAGTAATCAATACGATATCGGTATGGGTGCCGATATTAAGCATTTGGGCGAGTACTCGTACTCGCCTAAATGCTCCGATGCTTACTCCGATACCAGAACTGCCAGTCAGAGGGAATCTCCCTGAGCCGCGAAGGAGCATGGAGCCGGCTTCTTCATTGGCTGGGAAGCTGGCTTTATGCTGCTTGGCGACAGTACGGGGCAGTCTGGCTTCCTGACCAATCCGGAAGCAGGACCCATGCTACCTAGGGATGCCGGTATTGGTACTCAATACCGAAAATCCCGTATCTGTGCATCCCTAATGTATACACAAATTTTGAGCTTTAGTTAGCATAAAAGGTCACTCTATCTTCTGTATCAAATTCTATACTATTGCAAAAAACAGGTAGAATGAGGAGAAAGTGCAAGTGTACCACTTGTAGATCCCTATTACCTCTCAAAAAGATAACAGTATTCCCCCTGACAATTACTTCATCTCCATTTCTTCTCAAAAGGCTGACACAGCCTTTGATCAAAGGCCATAACCTGGACTACGATGCTAACTTAAAGATGACAGTTCTGTAAAACCCTATGGGACGAATTTATCAAAACTAGAGCAGACAAAATCTGGAGCAGCTGCCCATGGCAACCAATCGGCTTCTATTCTCAGTTTGTCAAAATGAAACAAGCTTAAAGGGTTGCCATGCACAGCTGCTCCGGATTTTGTCTGCTCTAGTTTTGATAAATTCCCCTCAATAAGAGGAAGAGCAGAAAAGAGAAGGCAAACTACCATGGATTACAGTAAGGCACACATTTCAGTATTGGTTTATGTTAAAAAATCTGAGACTTTAATGTCACTTTAAGCTGGTCCAACAAAAGTCACTGTTTGGCCAAGAATTTTCAGAGCAGCTCTTTTAACAAAAGTTGTTAGGTAAGTCAACTTTTGTCAAATGAGGGGGCCCCACACTGCTCAGATTTCAGCTGAAAATTGTGCAATGTATGGGACAGCTTTACAGTGTACAGTCTGAGTGTGACTAGGCAGCCAGCAAGAGGAACCGCAGCGCCCAATGGGGAACCAGTTATCTGACAAACCTGCAAATATCACATACCATATGTGCCTGGGGCTCTTCAAAAGAAGATCTAAAACATCGCTCCCCAGAAGGGTAAGTTTAATGCATCTTCTTTTACAGGATGCCTTTTTATTCTGTAGTGACAGGGTCGCTTTAAATGTATTTCAAATCCCGCATCAACATTGTTTTTGCTATTTGCTGGAACAGTATTGTTTGTCTGGGGTTCAGCTTTAATGATGATCTTGCATATAATATTGTTCTTTTTTTTCTTTAATATACTGTATATGGTTAGTTGTACATTTTCACAGCTATGTCTAGTTTAATTTATTTCCTTGTTTTGTATTGCAGTGTGATGCCATCAGTATTTTGGAAAAAGAACATGATTATACAGACGAGCACTTTGACTTTATTCAGTCCCATATCAGAAAGTTTTGTTTACAGTGTATCCTTTGTGTGTGTGTGTGTGCTAAAATGCAATCTATATCTACAATAGCAATACACAGGCAGATAATTGTGTATACATTTCAATAATCAAAGGAGTCAATGTTATGCCACCACCTGATATCATTCAGTATTTACAGTAGGGCTGCAGCTAATGATTATTTTCATAATCGATTAGTTGGCTGATTTTTTTTAATTTTTTAATTTTTTTCGATTAATCGGATAAAAAAAAATACCATCCTTTAATTTAAAATAAAATACACAAATGCAGTGTTCCAAACACTATACTGAAATAACGCTATATTTCAGAATAAAACTGCATGCACAATTTTTTGCAATCGCACTGCACAGGAACGTACAGCATTGCGGTACCGTGCGGGCGATCACACTGTGGGTGGAAGGCACGTTTGGTGTGCCATTTGAAATGAAGGGCACTGCAGCGCACCTACCGCAGCAGAATTTGTCAGGCCGTAACTGAAAATGATTTTTAAAAAAAATCATAATTGTATTGTAAGCACATGGTGCTTGAATAGCTTCAGCTAGGGAATGACATCTGCCAGTGGTAAGATTATGCAGACAGCAGCTGAATGTAAATACAACAGGTAATGGGCTGGTGCAATAGAAAGCCTGCTATTGGCCATTTCAAATTGCAATAGCAGGCTTGCTATTGCACCCGCCCACTGCTTGCTGTGCCCTCCTCACAGCATGGAGCAGAGATCTAGGGGATCCAACCAACTAATCGATAAATAGAATGGTTGACAACTATTCTCATCGATTTTTATTGATCGATAATTTTGTTCCAGCCCTAATTTACACTCAAAGTGATTTGCCTTCCATGAGTGTTGGACTGGACACCTGTATCAGAAATCTGCTAGTGTAGGGCAATTCCTGATCAATAAATTATTTCACCTGAAATAGTCCAAGTCACAGAAGTGATTTTAATATACTGTATCTAGCGGTACTGAGCATTGAGTTGTAAGCTTTTTAATACCAAGAAAATTGCTTTCCTTCATGACAGTTGTGTAATAACTTGATGGACTTGTGTTTTGTCTTTGTTTTTCAACCTAAGAAGCCCCTGCCAAGCTTCCCCCAGCTGTAAGGCTAGATCACACTCCTGTTATGGTTGAGCTTTGCATTGCCCAATGACCCAAGTGTTGCATCCCATTGAATTGATTGGTTTACATTTCTTGTCCTGGTGGGCCCTCAGCTGAGAAAGCATTCAGTATAGAATATAGATGCTGTATACTCTGATTCTGCATCACCGCCCACGGAGACTCAGCCTTAGATGTGTTGGCTACTTGGGTCCCAGGATTTGCCCAGTTCTGACGTAAAATATGATATCATGCTTCTTCAGCCATTAAATGTTTTCAGATTCAACACCTTTTTTTTATGTTTTGTGGAAGTACCTGTTCTTCTGCAACATTTCATGCCTGATGATGATCTAATATTTTCCTTAACTAGTTCCTTTTAAGATGGTGCCGCACTAATTTACACATCAATCAAAGAGGGCAAAAATATTGACATTGTATATAAGTATATTGTTCAACACTTGTATGGATTTCCCTTCAATATGCCCGCTGTGGTTGTGGAAAAGGATGCAGTATTTATGTAAGTATTGAAGGGTGAGCTGACCACTACATTTTGGAGGTCATCTTTTTCAGACTGGTGGGGGAGGAGGGGATGATATCGGAGATAAAGCTGCATGATCATGCCTATAATTATTGAGATGTCTAAGACTGACCATAGACCAGCTGATATCTATCTAAAGCTAACTGTACACATTACCATCTGACTGTACAGTTTCCTTTTGGAGTTACCAACAACTATGTGGTAAAAAAGATTTTCCTGATTGGATACAACGGGAATTGTTTTTTACGTAGGCCATTTACATTAGTTTTGGTTAATCTAAAGAAGAACTTGGGAATATTTTACAACTGCATTGTAATGTATGAATGGATTTAGAATGCAGAAGATATTTGCCAATACTTGAGTGAGTCTTGCGCGCGAGCATTGGGGCACTGCTTAGCCTTATGGTGAGAGTGGTGGACACATGGTTCTATACTCCTTCCCTTTTCCATTCCTGTGTATACATGTCAGTAATTAAATGGTGACAAGACACTTTAGGTACCCCTACATGAGCACCAAATGTACAATACGTCTAAATTTTTATCTTGTTCTGTGACACAGTCTGTATCTGTTTGCAGAAAATGAATGAGTGTGTAGCCCCCATCCCCTTCTGTGATGTGTCTACTAGACATTTAGTGATAGCCAGGGCTGTAGTCAGCCTGGCTGGATTTATAGTGGCAATTATCTTGTTAATTCCAGGTGTATGGGATTGCCTGTACCCCCCTGGGCGGAGTGTGATTCTGTAATATGGTGGGACAGCCAATGAGAGGCACTGTAGTGTATGTGCAGTACAGCAGCCAATCACTGGGTTTCTCTCAACCAGTGGTGCATGCTGGGATAGGGTACATATGCTGGAGGGATTTGCCATGTGCTCAGATTAGCCGGGACCAGCCATGGAATAGGGCTTGGTGCTGTTCAGCCTGCCGCCAGGCTTGGGGATGGGCATGGACTGGTGGGAGGCAAGGGTTTCCCTGAGACCTCCAACATGGAGGAGGTCTGTGTTGCTGATAGAGGAAGAGAACTGGGACCAATGCTGGCCCTTGAAGTACCCTGGAACTAAGAGGACTTCAAGAGTATGGTCGGTGTCTTTCCTGCTTGAGGATCTGTATCCATCCTGCTTATCTGCTACATCAGTTGCTGTCCGCTGCCACCCTAGTGGATTTACACTGATGTGCCTACCAGGTCTGGTGAGTCTGGAGCTCTTGTCGTTTACCCTGGAAGCTTAGAACCACCCATAGCCTCTCTCCTATGTAATATATATATTACATTAAATACGTATCTGTATTTATTTCATTAATATTAATGGAGGTTGGAATTACGCCGAGGGTCACCAGTACTGTGTGGGCAGCAAACCTGTCCCTGTCCCTCCTCCGTGTCATAGACTTTACTGCAGTTCATTGTACAAAGTTTTTACAATGAACCGCAGTAAAGTCTGTGACACGGAGCTGGGCAGAGCAGAGTCGGGAGCGCTGCTTCGCCTGCGGCCCGGTACCATTTGATCCACGGACCGGTACCGAGCCGCGGCCCGGGGGTTGGGGACCACTGCCCTAGACAGACTAGAGATGAACCGGGCATTCAGCGGCTCCTTTGGGGGGTGATCGCTACATTTGCACAGTTCATGTGTCAACATTTTGTAATGTCTATTGTGTAATTACAGACTGACAGAGTGAAGAAACAGATACATAGTGTATCTTGTATTGGCTATGTACCTCTATAATGTGCATGATGATTGTCTGATAGCTTGGCAAAGGTTTAAAAGTATGCAGAAAATGTGAAAAGATATGGTTAGTTTTACGTTGTGTGGATGATCCTGTCCGTCTGTTGATGTTCTCCCTTCTTTCCAGTCCTGCAGGTTGGGATAATGAGAAGAAAATAGGAATTTTACATGAAAACTTTCAAACACTAAAACTGGAGGATGCTTTTGAAGATATAGTCACTAAACCACCTGTCCGAAAGGCAAGTACATTTCTATTACCTTCTGTTTAATAATCTGGCTTTGTGTATGCTGCTCTGTGATTACATATAGGGATACACCGAATTTCGGCCGCCGACATATCGGCCGAAAATGCCGAAGGTGCCATCTTTCAGACGAAATCGCGGTGCATCCATAGTTTCTCTCCTCCCAGCTGTGCGCTGCTCAGTGTCCCCTCTGAGACAGCGCAGCATCTAGTAGAGAGGAGAGAAACTGTCAGGAGGCCAGGAGGGGGGGGGGGGGGGGGGAGGAGGCCGAACTCTCCTCCTGCACAGATCAGGAGAGCAGTGTGTGCAGAGACAGCTGTCACTGGAGACTGAGCCGGCGGTGCGGGGGAGGGATCAGTTGTCAAATGAGACCAAGCTCTGCACCGCTGGCTTTGCTGCGACAGCGCGTCCAGGTTGGAGAGCAGTATACAAACATTCAGTGATTGCTGACTGTTTGTTTGTAAATAACTGGACATAGTATAAGTTACTATGTACTGGTTATGAATGGGAAGTGATCTGCATAGTAACTCTATCTTCACAATTTAAAAATAGTTGCATAGTTACATAGTATTTGAGGTTGAATAAAGACATAAGTCCATCAAGTCCAACCTATTGTGTGTATGCATTTATGTTTGAGCAGGTGTGTGCGTGTGTATTAGTCCATGTGTGATTTTGCTCTTAGGCGTACCTGTACCCCTGTATATTATGGTCTCCGAGGAACTCGTCCAGGAGTTTCTTGAATGATTCCACACTCTTAGCTGAGATCACTTCCTGCGGCAGCGAGTTCCAGACCTTAACCGCTCTGACTGTGAAGAACCCTTTGCGCCCTGTGTGTTGAATTTTTTTTTTCCACCAATTTTTGGTGGTGCCCTCTGGTCCTTGTTACGGAGCTAACCGTAAACAGTTTGTTAATAATGTTGCTGTCACCCTTTAAATAGTTTATACAAGAAGATCATGTCCCCCCTTAATCTCCTAACCTCCAAAGAGAACATATTTTAATTTTAACAACCTTGTTTCATAGTTCAGGTCCTCGAACCCCTTAATGAGTTTGGTAGCCCTCCTCTGGACTTTTTCCAGCTCAAGGACATCCTTTCTGAGTATCGGTGACCAAAACTGGACCGCATACTCCAGATGTGGCCGAACCAGTGATCTGTAAAGTGGCAAAATTATAGACTTGTCCCTGCAATACATTCCCTTCTTAATGCAAGACAGGACTCTGCTCGCTTTGTTTACAGCAGTCTGGCACTGCAAGCTATTCTTCAGTCTGCTGTCTATAATGACCCCCAAATCCTTCTCCGTTTCCGACTTCCCTCGTGGCACCTCCATAAGTGTATAGTCCATTTGCCTATTTTTAACTCCAAGGTGCATTACCGTTTATTTATCGACATTGAACTTCATCTGCCATACAGTTGCCCACTCCCCGATTTTCTCCAGGTCCTCCTGTAATGTTACAATGTCTGAATGCGTGTCTATTACCCTCCCGATTTTCGTATCATCAGCAAACACTGAGACATGGCTACTCACTCCCTCCCCGATTAATAAATAGGTTAAAAAGAATGGGACCCAGCACAGAACCCTGGGGCACGCCACTCATCACTTCAGCACATTCCAAAAAGGTGCCATTAACTGATACTCTTTGTGCACGTTCTTGTAGCCAGTTTTCTATCCACGTGCACACTAATTCATCTATGCCCATAGCCCTTAGCTTGTATAACAAGTGTTTATGTGGAACCATATCGAATGCTTTGGAAAAGTCCAGATATACTACGTCCACCGGCCTCCCCCCATCCAGATCTCTACTTACCTCTTCGTAAAAGGTTAGCAGGTTGGTCTGGCAAGAACGATCCTTCGTAAATCCATGCTGGTTATCAGTTATTATGCCATGATCCCGGACGGATTCCACTAAGTAATCCTTAATAATTCCCTCTAACAGTTTACATACTATGGATGTCAGACTAACTGGTCTATAGTTCCCCGGTTGGCATTTTGACCCTTTTTTGGAATATAGGTACCACATTAGCCCTTCGCCAGTCGCTTGGTCGTTAGTCACTACCAGCCGTTACGGATTCCTAAAAAATTAGGAACAATGGTCTCGTTATCTCCTTGTTCAGTTCCTTGAGTGCCTTGGGGTGTAAATTATCAGGTCCTAATGCTTTATTTGCATTTAGTAGTTTAAGCCTATGTTGTATCCCAGTTTCCATCAACCACTCAGGTGTATTTCTTGGTAAGTTTTTTTTTTTTTTTTTTTTTTAACTTTGTAGTTTTGAAATGCCAATACTGTCCCCTCTGTTTTATACTTACTAAATGCTACTTTGTTTTCCTTAATGTGTTGTTTTACCGTTTTATTTAGCCATATTGGCTTTGTTTTTGATCTTTTAATTTTGTTCCCCAGCGGTATATACCTGGTAATAGCATTTTTTTATTTGTTCTTGAAACAGTCCCACTTTTGGTCAAAGTTTAATTTATCAAATAAGTTTTCCCATTCGATTTCAACCACTGTTGCATAGTTTATTAAAGTTGGCCTTCCTGAAGTTTAGGCTTCTCGTCCGCCGATCACCCTTCCCTTTTTTTGCACCCAATATTGAAAGCAATCACCTTGTGATCACTATTACCCAGTGTCTCCCCGATTACAATATCCTCAATTAACTCCGTATTATTGCTGATGATCAAATCTAAAATGACATTTTCCCTAGTCGGGACCTCAACCATCTGATCCATGAAATTGTCTCGCAACATATTAAGAAAACGGGCAGCCTTTGCCGATTGGGAAGTTCCATTAGCCCAGTTTATGGTTGGGTAATTGAAGTCTCCCATTACCACAACAATACCCTGTTTCCCCGCTATTTCTATTTGGGATTGTAGGTGGGCCTCCTCCTCCTCCCCTATATTTGGAGGTTTATAACAGACACCCACAAAAAAGATTGATGATTCTGTGTCCTCAATCTCTTTTTCTATCGTAAAAGGGAAATATCAGGGATCTGTTTAGACCGCTGATATTTCCCCAAAGTCCCCAACAGTAAATTTAAAAACAATTATAAAAAAATTAATGTAAAAAAAATAATTATTTAAGGTTAAAAAGAAAAAATTATTTTCGGTTTTCGCCGGAAGCCGTGCATGTGTACATCTCTGCAATACATGCACTTTAGGAAAATGAAGTACTACAGTTAAAATGTATCAATAAATATGTTTCCCTGTATCTAATTTTCGTGTGTTTTGTTCACAGTTCGTGCATGAGAAAGAGATTTTAGCAGAAGATGATCAGGTATTTCTTATGAAGCAGCAGGTAAGCATACTCTCCTATTTCTAGCTGAATAATAAAGCAGAGCTAGTTTTGAGTTGATCCAAACTAATACAATTTTTATATATTTTTCTTAGTCACAGTTGTCAAAACAACCACCATCTTCCGCAGGACGACCAGTAAGTTATTGTTTTTATATAATGGTACATTTTCACCAAGCACATTCACTATGTGTGAGGTGACATCTCTGCCAGATTTTCTATTGAAGAACACATTAAGTAATATTGTCAGGTTATACAGGAGGAGTGGACACTGGCAAACAAAAATATCTGTAGGCCAGATCAAGGTAAACCCCTCCTTTCCCAGCATGCCTCTGTTTTTTCTAGTGTCCTAGGCGGTTGGATGTCTTTGCTGGAAAAAAAAGTTTGTTTGCTATCTTTTTTTTTTCTGCTATTCGTTAAGCTTTTTTTCTTCAAGATTCCTCGCTACACCACTGTTGGAGCTGGTATCTATATGGCAGCCTTTTCTCAGCCTAGCTGACCGCCCACATTATCCTCTGGATGGATTTTTGGGCGTTCATGTTCCGAGCTGTCTTTCTTGCCTCGGCTGCTCCTGCTTTGCAGAAGAGATACATGGAACTTCGATCTCCAGTCTGTTCCTACTGCCCGTCTACAGTGACATTGGTCACGTATGGCCCTCAAACCCTTTTTGACCACTAGCTGCCTGGGTTTGTGAATACTGGAGGCCTTACCTCGTACCCTGAGCTTAGTTGCATTACTGCCATGCTGTTGCAACTTGTCGGTTTAGATACAGAGGGGGCAGTTTCATTGCAAAGGTTGACCCAAGCTCAGACTAACAATTCTGGGGATGTGCATTCTGTTATCCTCTCGGAGTACTGATATCTGTAGTCTGGAATCCTGTCACCCTAGGGTTATTGGGCTACCTTTTTAGAGTCCACCTTAGCTCTGTTATTAGTGGCCTCTACTTCATTCACAGAAGACTTTGTGGCGAAATTCACCCAAATCCACACAGATACTGTTTGCAGAGGCTCAGGGTGCACTACACAGCCTTTCCCTGTAGAGTCAATCATTGATCCTCCCTGTGGCCCTAGAAGAGGCAGGGCCACCAGTGATCGTGACTAGAGATGCTCCGATACCACTTATTTAAGACCGAGTACGACCGATACTTTTTTTTAAAGTACTCGCCGATGCCAATTACCGATACTTTTTCTTAAAGGGACAGGTTACACATTTTTTCTAAAGCAATATAAAAAATCATGATTTTAGGTCAGTTTCTTCATATTATGAAGAACATGAAATTAATATTTTTATCATGCCATTGCTAACTAAGGCTTGTATCCCCATAGTGGGGAAAATAGATGAGCACATGTCCAGACTCCAGACCAGAACACTGTATAGTGTGGCACAGCTATATCCAATTCTGTATAACTGGCTTTATATTATTATTAAATGTTTTTATAATATAAAGCCAGGTATGCAGAATTGGATATAGCTGTGCCACGCTATACAGTGTTCTGGTCTGGAGTCTGGACATGTGCTCATCTATTTTCCCCACTAGGGGGATACAAGTCTTAGTTGGCAATATCTACATAGTTATTTCTTTATTTAATGTCTTTTTAAAAAAAATATTATATGCAGTTAAACGGCATTTTTGTGCCCAGCCCCCATGCGGTGCTGCAGTACTAACCTGCTGTGTCGTCTTCTCCGTCTGCTTCAGCCACTCCGTGTCCCAGCCTAGTCATCTGCTCCATTCGGACCTCTTTTCCCGTTGATTGGCCGATTGGATGATGACAGGCTTTCTCACCAGTCACTCCTAACTGGTGAGGAAGCCTGTCAATCATCCAATCGGCCAATCAGCGGGAGAAGAGGTCAGAATGGAGCAGAGGACTTGGAGGAGGAGTTTGCGGCCATCTTGTTTCATTGAAGGCGCTATGGAGGTCCTGTGTGCGGCGGTTTCGGGTCCTTGAAGATGGCGGACGCGGCACAGGTACTCGTTTTTTGTATCTGAGTATTTGCACGAGTACTCATGCAAATACTCGGTATCGCCGCCGATACCGATGCTTGTATCGGAGCATCCCTAATCGTGACCATACCTGACTCGGGCTCTCCACAGTCTCTCGCTGATGAGATTGTTTTTGAGAAACCGCAGTCTCCTGCTATTATCTCAGATGTACAAGTGACCATTTTGGTCCTTTTTGATGAAGGCGGTACTATTCTGCATCTGAAGTATTACCTCACTGTATCCAGCCTTGGGTCTTTCAGAGCCCCTACAGCTGCAAAGCCCTTTCTGCTACACCTGCTATTTTAATGTTTTCTTTATGGGGACTGGAAGAATCCCAAAGGCTCTTGGACCGCACTTGAACTTGTGTTGGAACTGTTCCCCTTTGAGAGGGAATTTTTTAAACAGTGGACTATAGCCACTGTAGATCAGCCAGTGACCCACCTTAACAGGAAAACCACTAGCCCAGCAGAGGGTTTGCTTACCTTTTAAGGATTCTACTGACCAGCAGTTGGAATCCTTCCTTAACATCCATTTTTTACTTCCAGGCTCTAAAGAAGCATCTAAACTTGTGTCCCCATGTGAGTCTGTTGTCAGAGCATTCAGGTTAGGGTTCTGGGAGGCAGTTGCTATATCTATGGAGCGCCTTACTCGCTTGGTCTTTGAGGGATGCCGCCTTTTCGGACCTACCCTCGATTTCATCCTCAGTGATATCGCAGGAGGCCAGAATGTTTACCTGCTTTAATGTCGGTTAGTGTAAACATATCCAGACTATGTAAGCCTGATTCTCAGGGAACCCCCAAGACAGGAAGCCAGATAATTCTTTGAAGAAGCCTTTAGCATGAAAATGCTCCCCACTTTTCCCCTTTGGGTTTTGAAGAGAACCCCTTCCCTCTAGCACTCTCTTCAGCTACTCATCCTCTTCTCCCCTGTGCCACCTCATAGATTACCAGACTTTCCCCTGTCCTCTTGGGGTCTCCTGAACCAAGAGGCTCTACCTGTAGTCATTTTTAGTTCAACCTCTTGATGTGTTAACCATTCTGGCCTCCACCCTCTCCCTCTGAGAATCATTTTACCTTGGGGCAGGTAAGATCATCTGTAGTCTGTGGTAGCCTTCAGTGTCATCATTCTCCTCCCTCAGATGGGCCCCCTGACCTGCCTGGTTAATTAGGTCCAACTTTGGTGGTCCTCTGCGCTAACAGGATTTTAAATACTGATCATCGCACCTCCACACCTGCAACTTTGGACTCTTATGTCTGTCTTAGTGCCTTTTCTTGGCATCCCCACTATGGGAGACACAGCTGACCTCCTGTGAAGAATATAATTATATATAATCTGTAAGACCTAGCCAAGTCTTGCTTCATCAGGTTGTGGCATTACTAGTTACTTGTCGCCTGTAAGGGACGTTAGCCAGCATAGCTATGCAATGGAGGAGTCCATAGCATGGTTGCCCAGAGGTCTCATTATAAGAGACCAAGAGGATTGTGGAAGCTGCCTTCCCGCCGGATCACGCCTATTCACATCACTTTACCACTATTGGATGAGGAGCACCACACAGGTGCCCCATAGCTAATGGATATCCCATTAACTATAAAAGACCCCTGCTCGCTCAAATACAATGGTGCTTGAAACCAATTCTAAACTCTTTCATGCAAGTGTTAAAATGCACAATAACTAAAAATGTTATGGTGTTGCATTTTAGTAAGAGGCTTCCTTCTTTTTTTCTGTATTAAACCAACTATCTAGCTTGGTTCTTTTATATAAGGATTTTTGTTTACAGATAACTTTTTGATGTACAGTCTTCTGTTAAATAATACATGCATTTACTGTATTCCATTTATATAACCAACAGCTTTCTCAGCACTATATCTTAAAACTATTTGCTGTCATGTTGAATCTCAAATATCATTTTGTTCCAGGATGCTTCTCCAAGAGTTCCTGGTGGGTCTCCTCGGACACCCAGCAGATCAGGATCATCTAATGTTACCAGTGTGTCGCCTGTCCCTGCTGGCACAAAGAAAATTGATCCCAACATGAAAGGTATCTGGCTAACTGCTATTTGACATACTTTCAGCAGTAAAATGTCAGTATTCACCAATTCTTTTCTTTTCTCATCACAGCTGGAACAACTAGTGAAGGAGTGCTTGCCAATTTCTTTAACAGCTTACTAAGCAAGAAAACTGGTTCCCCTGGGCCTGGGGGTACAGGCAACCCTGCAGTCAATTCTGGAGGCAACAGTCTGCCAACATCTGCCAAAAAAACAGGTACACTCCCATAACTGGTAGTTTACTCACTGCAAATGATATAAAAACAAGTTGGAATATGGAAGATCCTTGTCCTAAAACGGGGCGAGGTCGTTGTCTTGTTACAATCTGGTAGGACGCTGACTTTTTATCTAAAGTACACATAGTGGTGTTACTAATGCAAACTACAGTGTTGGGGACTATTTGCAATATTGCATTTTAATGTTGCTTCTATACAGAAAGCATGATAGTGTTAATGTTTTGCTGTATTTAGTAGTTTGGTATGTGCTGGCAGTCAAAATCTTATGCAGAGGGAACCCTTTTATTGTCCAGACCATGTATCTGTACGTTAGGTTAAAACGTACACTGTTTTATTTTATTCTTTCAACCCGCAGGCTATGCCCTATGAGTTTAGATCAAGGCATCCCCCCTGTTTTTCTTATATTCTGACAGCGGCCAGCAGTGTATTGCCAGCTTAAACTTTACACTAGGCCTGCAGTGTATTGCCAGCTTAAACTTTACACTAGGCCAGCAGTGTATTGCCAGCTTAAACTTTACACTAGGACAGCAGTGTATTGCCAGCTTAAACTTTACACTAGGACAGCAGTGTATTGCCAGCTTAAACTTTACACTAGGACAGCAGTGTATTGCCAGCTTAAACTTTACACTAGGCCACCAGTGTATTGCCAACTTAAACTTTACACTAGGCCAGCAGTGTATTGGCAGCTTAAACTTTACACTAGGACTTTCATCACTGCTAGATTGAAAGATAATGCTCTTCTTTCTTATCTTAAACTCACTACTATTTATCACAAACTAAAAAACATCCATCCTAGATAAATCGATCCTTTAATCAACACTAGTAAGAGGTTGTTATAAAGTACAATGTTCATTGAAATATTGTAACATGTCATCCATTCTTTTAAAGGCCAAAAGCCGGTGTTAACAGACGTCCAAGCTGAACTGGATAGAATCTCTCGTAAGCCTGATATGGTCTCCCCCACATCACCTACATCCCCTACAGAAAATGATGCATCTTGAAGGCTGCAGTTTCTTCTTTGGAGTTTGGTGTAAAGCGGCCTCTGCCTTTTCCTTCCTCAGTAATTGTGGAACCGCGGAGACAAACACTTTTTTTTTTTTTGTTCCTTAAAGTGAAGACACAATGTTTTGATATGTTTATCCCAATTTACAAAGATACCTTCGGGATAATAAATATTACTGGACTGCTGTTTTTTTATGGCACAGATCTACATTTTTTTTTACATATATAATTATTGTTTTCTTTTGTTTAAGCCACTGTTTGGTAAAGAATTCAGTTACTTTCAATGAATTATCTAAAGAACAATATAGATGAGTAAAATTGCAGTTCCATAGGCTACTGATGGGCTCTCAGTTTCAGGTACAACCAGAACCTTTTAGAAAACCGCACAGAAACGTTTGTGTCACACAAATACACAAAGTAGGGGAAAGGGAAGTCGGAGTATATTTCCACCATTTGTAGAACAGAGTTAGTTAAATGTAATGCATGAATTACACTCCTATCTTGGTCCAGGTCTTGTCAGCCTGCGCATCAATGGGGGACCATTAGGTTCTGGTTCTGTACAAGTCTTTGAGATAAGCTGTTATCGGGCTTCATAAAGGTTTGGGGTAGAGGTCCCAGAAATAAATTGGATCGGAGTGTAACATGATATACTGGCAGCCGTCTTCATCTTTGGGGTGTTCACCTTTAACTTGTTTCAGAGATTTACAACAATGAACAGGTAATTGATCTTGCAATGAAAACTGACGTTACTGAATATTGCTGCTGCGCTCACCAATCCAATGACTTGCAGTATGGGGAGTATATGATACCAGATTACTGCAAGCACTGAAACAATCAATTTGTATAATTTAAAACAAAGGCAGAGATTAGAGTCGGTGTGTTGTGTTAAACTAATGTCTCCAGATATGTTCGTCCGACATGTACAGATCTGCACTAGCCACTGTTTCACTGGTTTACAATGATGGTTCAAACAGTCCTGTCTTCTACAATCAGTTAATAAATTTGTATTTATTCTCTGCCTAGAATAAACTATCTTTTTATTTATGTTTAATATATTTTATAGTCCTGTTTAGTTAGTATAACTAATGACTGTTTTGGCCGCATTTTCCATTATATTGGAATATGTTTGTTTAGTTAACTTGAATCTGAGCGCCATGCTTGTATTGAGAATCGCAATTTATGCTAAATGCAAAGATTCTTCCCACACACAGTTTAGGGGAAAAAAGTGCTGTTTTTTGTTTTACAAAAATTCTGAAAAATATATCTTTTAGTTTGCATAGGTCTATTGGTAAAATGCTTTGCCTATGCAAGGGAAAGCGGCATGTTCTCTAAATGCAGGTCAACCAGCAGCACACACTCACTGTTTCTCTGCTGCCAAAACAAGCAAATCCCAGCCCAGTATAAGCTCTAGTCAGCTTACATGGAACTGACTGTCTCCCTACCCCCTGTGACCATGCTGTGCCAGTCACCAAGAATCAGTGTTCTTCCATGCTCAAGTGGCAGATATTTTCTTAGCTCCCATTGCCTGGGGGGGATGGAAAGGTGAATATATACTGCTGGTGGACCAGACTTTAAAGCAGGCTTGTTCCCCTGCCTTACATGCAAGTTTGTTTCTCAAATACTAGTATTCGTGCATCCCTACATTTTACGGTTGGGGTCACCACAACTTGGCAAATGTTACCAAGGGCTCTCAGCCCTGGAAAGGTTGAGGACCACTGGTTTAAAGGGTCACCCTTATGGTTTACATGTAGCTCTCCTTCTTCATGAAGAAGGCCACAGCTGTGCCTGCAGACTCTTCAAGTGGTCTATTAGGCCATCATTTATGCATGCAAACGTATGACAGCCACGTGCTGTGCACACTACAACCTTGCAGATGCCAAACGTGAAGAACTTTCTAGAGTTCTTTGCATTTGGCTCATTTTAGCTTAGTGGTTTTCCTAAAACAAGTACAGGGAAGAGTCACAAGTCAGCAGAAGCCTAATTTATAGTTACTGCACAAGCAAAGACTGTATCCTGTCTACAAGAATCTTTTCATACTGGTCTTTATTTAGGTGAGGATAATGCAGAAAATGATTTCACCATTCTTTTCCCAAGAAACAGATCATTCAATGACGGTGGGAGGTGCAGTGTACTCTGCAATGACATTTACTGTTTTGCTGCTTGCCTAAGTTTTCCAGCTGCTCCAGATTTTGTCTGCTCCAGTTTTAATAAATCCCCCCCTATATATAAATCTAAATATTCCGTTTTTTCCCAAGTGCCCGCAGGAAGAAAATGCATGTAAAGTGTATGTCGTGTTGCATTGCTTAAAAATGTACTACAAAAATACATTATTCACTTTGAGGTATGAACAGGCCTTTGCTTCAATACTTGAGACATTGACCGAGGCAAGTCTGCAGGTTAGAAGTTCTGATTATTCTAATTTGGAAACCTGTTTCAGGTCAGTGGTCCCATTTACACTTTTGTGGAGCATTACGTTAAAGCTCCGGCAAAAGAGTCTGGAAAATTGAACGTATTAAAAAAATTTGTAACAATGGTGTTTTTGGTGCGCTACAACACAAATGAACGGCACCACGACACATATGACGTGTGTTGACGCGTGTTGTGGTAAATGGGCCCTCATAGTATTTCAAGTATAACTGAAGCCAAAACTTTTTGTTTTGTTTTTTAGTTTTGCATAGTGTGGAGAGGGATTAGAATACCTGTTCGGATTTTATTGCCGTCTGTGGCCCTGTTAGGGAGATGAACCCTCTTTATTGGTCCCGGTGACTGTTATTGGTGAAAGAAAGTTCCAAATGTTGGATTGCCATCAGAACAGGAATAGATGGGAAATGGGGACGTGGCTGACCACCAGAGATTTCCTTCTTCGTTTTGGAGGGATTTTCTCACTTCCAGTTGTGGCTATCGGACAGGAAGTCGAGGGAAATCTCTCCAATGGGATACACTTACTCAATCCAAAAAAAAAATGAAAACATTTGGCTTTAGTTTTACTTTAAAGGAGAACTATGAGGTGAGTGATTTTCACTCAACCTCATAGTTCGAGCCGACGTATGACAATGAGACTGTCACAGGTCGGCTCAATAGATTGGGAGGTGAGCGAACACATACCGTTGCTCGCTCACTTCTCTATCCTGTCCTTGCAGAGAGCCGTGGCTGTCACTCACGGCTCCCTGCAGGGATTACCCCCTCCCCTGTCCGATCCTTCAGAGGGTACAGCTGGCTCTGCCTTTTAGATAGGCAGAGCCAGCTGTCACTCACGCAGCTGGGTGGATCCAGACAGTAATATCGGGATCGGTCTCGGCTGCGGCGTCTCAGCTCGCGGTATACTGAGCTTTGGGTCACGGGAGGATGCTAGTTTGTTTTCTCCCGTTACCCTTAGGAGAACTATGGGGAAAAGCACTGACCCCATAGTTCCCCTTTAAGTCAGAGATGGCCAAGGCACAAGCATTCACAGAACGTGGTCACCAGTGGCAGCTCCTGGATTTCACTCAAGATTTGTGACCTGTAAAAGCCTATAGGTATCCCACAATGGTCAGAAAGTAAAACATGGGCCACGGCAAACCCAAAGTATCCCTTGGCCATAGAACTGTCGATGAAGAAGGCAGATAAGCTATGCTTTTCTGATCTCTGTTTATGGCACACTAATCAGAAAATAGTTTATTATGCAAATATACAAGTTATTGTATAGAGAACGTTAAATCTATATGATGCTCATCTGTCATCAGAAGTGTCACAAGGAGGGACAGCGCAGGTGACACACACAGCCACCCCTTCTACATACACACCCGGTTTAATTGTGTGGCCTTCTCTTTTTAATACTGGCAGCACATCATATCTGCTTGTAAAACAATCCTGTAATTTCTCTGAACTGAGGTTATTACAAGCCACTGAGCACCTTCAAAGCTTCCCCAGCAAATCGTTTTTAATAAACCTTGTATACGGCAGCTCCTATAGCCTCGATTTACCCAGAATTGCATGGCTTGGGTTTCAGCTTCCAATAATATATTTGTATTTATTTAGTATTGGGAGTTTGGTGAGGGAAATGCATGTTAAATTCTAACATTTCAAACTGATCATTTAGGTTATTGGGTTTTTTTTCCTCGCAGATTTTACATGTAAATATCCCATAACTCATATTTTGAGTGCCGACTTTCACCTCCTAAGGATTCTTGATTCTGGTTTTTCCAATCTTGACTTAACATGCAACGATCCTTGTATAAGAAAAGTGTACGAATAAGCTGGTTTATTCCCAAACTGTACTTCAGCAAAAAATATATATATCCATGAAAACGTTTGTTGTGTGCATTGTTTATTTATAGCAGGCTCGTGTCAGATGAAAACACCACGGGGCTGATTTATAAATCTTCTGCCCAGCATTTAGCTGCCACTACATGGTGCTTAGAAGCATTAAAAAAATTCCTATGCGCCTTAGTGCCATCTAGTGGCGATAGTACTGTGTGAACTGCATTCTTCCAGAAATTCCTATGCTCCTCAGGGCCATCTAGTGGTGATAGTACTGTGTGAACTGCATTCTTCCAGAAATTCCTATGCTCCTCAGTGCCATCTAGTGGTGATAGAGCTGTGTGAACTGCATTCTTCCAGAAATTCCTATGCTCCTCAGGGCCATCTAGTGGTGATAGAGCTGTGTGAACTGCATTCTCCCAGAAATGTATCGGCTGCTCAGTGCCATCTAGTGATGATAGGGCTGTGTGAACTGCATTCTCCCAGAAATTCCTATGCTCCTCAGGGCCATCTAGTGGTGATAGTACTGTGTGAACTGCATTCTTCCAGAAATTCCTATGCTCCTCAGGGCCATCTAGTGGTGATAGTACTGTGTGAACTGCATTCTTCCAGAAATTCCTATGCTCCTCAGGGCCATCTAGTGGTGATAGTACTGTGTGAACTGCATTCTTCCAGAAATTCCTATGCTCCTCAGGGCCATCTAGTGGTGATAGTACTGTGTGAACTGCATTCTTCCAGAAATTCCTATGCTCCTCAGGGCCATCTAGTGGTGATAGTACTGTGTGAACTGCATTCTTCCAGAAATTCCTATGCTCCTCAGGGCCATCTAGTGGTGATAGTACTGTGTGAACTGCATTCTTCCAGAAATTCCTATGCTCCTCAGGGCCATCTAGTGGTGATAGTACTGTGTGAACTGCATTCTTCCAGAAATTCCTATGCTCCTCAGGGCCATCTAGTGGTGATAGTACTGTGTGAACTGCATTCTTCCAGAAATTCCTATGCTCCTCAGGGCCATCTAGTGGTGATAGTACTGTGTGAACTGCATTCTTCCAGAAATTCC